TTTAATGAGTTTGTAATTAGAGTTTGATTGAGACTCAATTGCTGATCTTCCATCGAAGTTGAGTCCTTGAACAACACAAACTCCAACCCTATCTTTTATCCGGATTGTATTCTCTTCTCATAAGGAGACTTTCTCTCCTTATCCCATATGCAACCTTTTCGATCAGTTCAGGAGATATTGTTGCTTGATCAATGAGACTTATCTCCTTCACGTGCATCTCACATGTATAGGTTGACAAACACTGTGATTCACATGATGGACCTGGTCCATGACTGAGTTCATTTGTCATTCTTCAAACCTTCACCTGTTCTTGGGCCAACAGAAACCATGCTTAATAGGTTCCAAACAATCATGTCTTAAAATCAGTTTAGTAATAGATGCCATGCCTATAGGACCTAATCCAGATTCAGTTATAACAAGTATTTATGAATGTTTCCATACCTGCAAATCGTTAAAATCAGTGTTACGCTTAGATATCATGCATATAGGTAGCTCTACTCGTAATTCTGTTTAGTCTAATAAATCGACTTGATCATGCCTAGAATTGGTTCTATTAAGTATTAAGCATTTCTTGAAACAAGTTCTTTCAGACTGCCTCAATCTCACTAGATATCATGCCTATAGGTATTAAAGGATGTTTATTTCAAAACCTGTTTTGTTTCCGTATTACTATAGACATCAGTATTCTGCGTATAGCCAAGCCTTTAGGGCTTTTCCAAAATTGCATTCTCTAAAACTGTCCCTATCGCTCGATGTTTTCTGGTCCTAACAAGCTTTTAAAAAGAGACCCTAGGCAACTGCTAGGGTGTAATTTCTGAGTCTAAAAAGGGTTTGTTTGTTTCTGCATATTCACTTTGATATCCTGCTTTAGGACATTGATTAATAAAAAACCTTAATTGTGCTTGAGTCGTGCTGCTTATGTGTTTGTTTGAGGAGGAAACTCTGAGCCTCTCAATTGTTCCCATAATGTGTGAAAGTCCTAAATGCTTTTGACTGTCGCCTCAGAATTTTTTCCTTTTAAAACCTTAGGGGTACGTCTAGAACCACCTATAGGTAGAGGTCCTAACTCCCTCCAGGACCATTAAGAAGGGACGGGTAGCAGCACGCAATAGGAATAATTGACCAAACACTCGCTTTGCATGACCAATAAGGGGATGGGAAGGGTAGACATGGGATATGATAACTACACACTAATGTCACGTGTAGCCCCTCATTGAGGAGTGTTTACCGGACATTGCGTGGGGGTGATCCTATAGGATAACCAACCTAGGACCCCTCCTTACCAAATCCTTTCTTTATTTAAACCTTTGTTCAAACCTTTATCTTACTACTTGAGTTACCCAACGTGCTTTACTTGCAACTTATTTGATTCAACCATTTATATGGACTAATTTGTGAATATAAGTTCGGCCGGGACCCATAGTTGTGGACCAAGAGGGGTGCCTAACACCTTCCCCTCGAGGTTACTTCGAGCCCTTACCCTAATCTCTAGTAATTCAAACCAACCCAAGAGTTAATCGCTCTAGGTGCCCTAACGCACCGTAATCCGTTAGGTGGCGACTCTTCAAATACCCAATTCCCAAAAGGAAATGAGTCATTACACCCCGTGAATGTCGAAACCCGGACCTCTCCCCGAAAAGGGAGGGAAAAAGGGGGCGCGACACAGGCTGCTAGAGGGTCTTTGATGTTCAGAGTCTCATCTTCCTCCTCCAAGATTACATCCATGGCTTCTATTAGAGAGCAGTTAGAAAATTCGCTTGGCCGCCGCATAGAATTCTGCACGTTGAATGTTATTTCCTCATCATTTAATCTCATTTTGAGCTCTCCCATTTCACAATCAATCAAAGCTCTCCCGGTGGCCAAGAATGGTCTTCCCATAATTATGGGAATTTCCTCGTCAACCCAACAGTCAAGAATGACAAAATCTGCTGGGAACACAAACTTACCTACCTGTACTAATACATTATCGAGAATACCAAAGGGCCTCTTCACTGTCCGGTCAGCCAGCTATAGTAACATGGACGTGGGTCTAGCTCTGCCAATGCCCAACCTTTTGTAGATAGCCGGGGGCATCAGGTTTATGCTTGACCCTAAATCACACAGTGCCTTAGCAAACGCATTAGTTGCCTATTGTGCATGGGATTGTAAAACTCCCTAGGTCAGACAGCTTCTCAGCGATGGGTCTCGTCACTACAACACTACAAGTCTGAGTCAATGTAACCGTGGCCAAGTCTTGACTGTCAAACTTACGGGACATCAAGTCCTTCATCATTTTCGCATAACCAGGCATCTCCTTTAAAGCGTCAATCAATGGAATGTTTACCTGAATTTGCTTCAACATCTCCAAGAATTTCTTGTACTGCTCATCTTTTTTATACTTGGCCAATCTCTATAGGAATGGTGCTGGAGGTTGCTTCTTCCCTGTGGTTTGATTTTTTTCTTGTTCAGGCACTGCTTTTACTATCGATTCTTGTGCTACCTCAGTCTCGTTCACAACCTCGTTCCCTTTGCTGGCGTTCTCTTGTACATGATGTACTGTCATCTCAGTTAACCCTGCTAAGTCACTAGTGCCATTCCATAAACTCGCTGCCATAGGCTGTTTCGGGCCCTGCTCTTTTGGATTGATTTGTGTGTCTGCAGGTAACGTCGTCCCTTGGGGACGGTTATTTAAAGCCATCGAGATCTATCCTGATTGAATCTCAATATTCTTTATCGCTGATTCATGTGAGTCTACTCTCTTAGTTATTTTTCCAGTGGACCCAATCAGTTGTTGCATCATTCCCTCAAGTTTAGCAAACCCATCTTCATGTCTCTCAATCTGTTGTTGTTGCGGTTGTTGATAAGCCTGCTGCTGATTTTGCTGGTTGTAACCCTGTTACCTTTGGTAAGGCACCACTTGACCCTGTGGTCGCATAGCCCCAAGATTGTTGTTGTTGTTGTACTGCTGTTGAGCTGGTCTATATTGTTGATTCTGCTAACCCCAATTCTGACCACCTTGCCTTTGTCCCCCGTAATTGGCCACTTAGTTCATGTGTTTCCTGATATTGCTGGTTATCACCTTCAGCACTCCACGAGCAAACATATGGTTAATTGATGCATGATGTGCATAAGCCCCCATTAGTTGCATCAACTATGTGTACCTGCTGCTTCTGGCCTGATTCATCAACCTTTTCAGTGAGGATACTCATTTGTGTCACTAAAGTGGCCATATTTTCAGCTATGGAGTTATTTGGGTCTAAAGCCACTGAGTGCACTACAGGAGTGATTGGAGCGTTTCTTATCGTCCATCCAGAGTTTTGGGCCACCTTGTCAAGTAGGATCTTGCTTTCTCTGAATGTTTTGCTAAAAAATGTTCCACCTGCTGAAGCATCAACATTGGCCTTCAGGCTATCTGCCAAACCCATGTAGAACCTCTGCCCCAACATCTGCTCCGGAATACCATGATGTGGACACGTAACCAGCAGACCCTTGAACCTCTCCCACATTTCTTGTAATGTCTCTGTTGGTTTCTGTCTGAAGCTCAATATCTCATCAATTTGTTGAGCAGTCTTATTTGGTGGGTAGAATTTGTTCACAAATTGCTTGACTAATTACTCCCAAGTAGTGATGGAGTTTATGGGGAGTGAATTAAGCCAAGTCTGAGTCGCTCCTGTCACTGAGAATTGAAACAACAAAAGTCGTATTGCTTCTGGTGTCACATTATGTTGCCTTTATGTGGCACAGAATGACAGGAAATTCTTCAGATGCTGCTGAGGATCTTCAATGTATGACCCTGAGAACAGTCTCTTGTTCTACAACAATTGTAGCATGTTGTTTGTGATTTGGAATGATTCTGCTTGTATCTAAGGGACTGCAATTGCGGTTGCTAAGTTGTCAGCGGTGGGTTGCGCCCAATCATACAGTGCTGCTTCTGGCACAAGAGGCACCACATCCTGATTGTTTGGATCATTCACGTTGTTTCTGTTGTTTAGATGATCGTCTTCCATGTCTGGTTCAATTTGTTCTGTTGAGTTTTGTTGTTGTTTGCCCTTCTTGTTTGCACGACTCAATGCCTTGAAGACTTTCTCAGGATCTGATAATGCTTCAAACAATTCACCAGTTCTTGAGGAGTTTCTAGGCATGCACCTGTAACACCCAAGACTACAAACATTAGAATTTCAATGTAATCAGTTTAAATTGAAGAAAATTGACTACACTAAGAATTTTTGCACTTCTTTTAACTGCAATTAATAACACCGTTAATTCTCCGGCAACGACGCCAAAATTTGATCACGCCCAACTATGCCTTATAAAAAGGACAAAGCGATCACTGCAAATATGTTCCAGTTAATAAGTCCGGAGTCAAATCCCACAGGGAATTAACCTATCAATCACAGCTATTGGACTTACACAAATTCACGTATTCAATCTTCGGAAATATTTGAGTAAAAGATTGGATGATTACTAACTAAATATTATGTAATGACAATACAATAATTAGGGACTAACTATGAATGAGTTGTAGACAAGAATGGGAATGATCTAAGGTTCTGATTTCCCCTATTGTCGGAATCTTTTCCGCTACGTTTGCTATAAATTTGCCTAAGTCTTCTCTATCGATCATGAGCACTCCGATTGTCGTAACTCTCTACCGAGTAATTGCAACAATATACTAGACGTATTCTCCCGAATTACGCTAGCTAGCTTTAAGTACAACTCACTTAGATCGCACTCAAGGTTTCGTTATCCCTAATCCCACCTTTAAACCCTTCGTATTGATCCCTCATATACGTTAGGAGTGGTGTTGTTCAACAACTACCTAAATATGCACTCTCTCCCGGGTAATACATACTAAATAGGCACAGTCGATTGAGGGCCCTTCAATTAACAGCAATCACAATATAGTTGAACAAACAGAGAGAATACTACGGCAAATCTATATTAACATAACAAGAAAGTCATCCTCCAATAGGTTCCATCAAAACCCTAGATTAGGAGTTTAGCTATGCATAATTGTTTTCACAATCATCACAATAGAATTCATCATCAATGATAAAAACAAGAGGAAGAAAGATAAAAACTCTATGCCGAATCTTCTGTCTCGCTTCTTGCCTGTTCTTGCCTTTAAAATCCTTCCAAAAACCAAGATACCCTCTTTTTGGGTGAGCTGGGCTTCATATAGGTCAAGGAGAATTGCCTCTCAACTTACAATTTTACCCTTGAAATAAAATCCTCGGAGTGATATGCGCAGCCGCGGATGGACCGCGCATATTGCCTTTTGTTCTGCCTGATGAGTGTGCCAGTGCACGACCACGGATGGACCGCGCACCTGGAGGATATTTCTGCCTTTAGTTTTCTTTCTTCTTTTGCGCGAGCTCACCTCCGATTGGTCTTCCTTGCTCCAGATTAACTCCAAAATGCTCTTTAATGTCCTCATAGCCCGGAATTGCTCCTACAAATCACAAAGTTCTTAATTAGAGCAATTTGTTATCATTTAATATTCATATATCAATAAAGTACAGCTAAGTTGGAGCGTAAATGGTAGCTAAACTACATAATTATAGCCTACTATCAGAAGCCTAAAGGTCTCAATTATGCTAAGGATTCATCACAACGTCATAAGACAATCATGTTAACTCGTATCATGAAGCAAAAAAGTATCAAACATGGTATGGAAACACAAACTAATATGACCATTCTAAAGGTTTCAAATAGTTACTAAGGATATAGAACTAAGCAAAACAGAGATATGCTATGAGACACACTAACGGGGGAGCAGGTCATAGTTAATAGAAAAGGTCTTAACATAGATTAGAACACATTTCATAGGCAAGTCTGTTATTACAGAGATTCAGAACAGAATGGGAAAGCAAGCTCATGGCAGTAGACCAAGGAACTTAAAAGTTTCAATGCAAATGCAAATCTATCAAAGTTGCATACAAAAGTAGCCCAGAATATATTAGCTAAATGAACTTAAGAGGGTTCAAATTATTCAAATTAGGCATAAAGAATCTCAGAATTGACAGCATTAGGTAAACTCAAGTGTTAGGAAAGTTCAGATTACAGAACAGGTTCAAATGCTAACATATTAAGTCATGAATTTTCAGAAGTAAGAACATGCAATTCATAGACACATAAGAACGGGATTGCAAAAGTCAAGTGACTTACCAGTTAAACGGATAATAATAAAGAAAAAAATTACACAGTATTCTGAATCAAACAAAGAACGAGAATCCAGAATCTCAATGCGTCAAAGTTCCCAAGGGCTTCAGAGTGTGCTCGCACCAAGAAAAGGTTGAAAAGTCGAATACCAGTGGCCTTGGCTTTCAGCCGGTCAAGAATTAAGGTATAGAACAAGAGAACAATAAAGTGATAACCCCAATTTTTAGTGAAAATCTAGCGATAAAAATATGTTTCGAAGGGGAATGGGGAGGGGTTTATATAGTGGTAGAAATCGAACAAGCAAACAATTATTCAAACACAAATAAGGAAAGAAAATCAATCAAGTTTAAACAGGAATAAGGAAAGTCACATGCATAGCCTATTCCGAGTAGAAATAGGTAAAAATCGGACAAAACCTAGTTGACAGACGGTCAAAATTTTGCCAAGAATCTCGGTGAATCGAACCCATACGATCTTGTTGAGAGTGTATATAGACGGATTTTCATCTAAATCTTGTAGGTTGAGGATGATTGCACTAGATTAAAAGAGGTAGTACTTGCCAAAATCGGGTAGGTACTAAGTAATACCACGAGCGTGTGAATGGTAACAAAATAATACAAATAAGGTAAGCAGATCGTGAAAGAGCTTCATGATTTTGCCAGATTTTGACGGGATTTGGGGGTGGGACAGCTAGGGTTCGTAGAAGATAAGAGCGTATGAGGGCGGCTGAGAAAAGAAAATGGTCTCTAGGGTTTTGGGGTGGGGATATAAAGAGAGATGGGGGAAATGAAATGAGTCGTTGATCACTTTTGATTAATGGCTGGGATTTGAGATAAATTGGGACGGGTTTTGGACTGGGTTGGGAATTAGGGGTCGTTTGGATTGGGCTTAGGGGGGTTGTGCCAGAGATTTGGGGATTGTCTGGTCCGAAATTGATACCAATTTTTGGTCAGGTTTTAAAAATTGAAATTAAGGGAAAGATAATTTAAGAAATCAATTAAATAAATTATAAAAATGCCATTGACGCAAAGTAATATTTTAAAATAATAGTAGAAGATTACAAAAATGTAAGATATGATTTTGATCTTGAGTAAAATGACAAATGCAATACAATTGTAAAATATAGGATGTTATTGCAAGATTGTGCAAATAGCCTAAAATACTAGTGTAATTGCATAAAATAAAGTAAAAAAAATATATGAAACATGTATTATGAATGCAAATTTTAGGTAATTAGGTCATCACAAAATAATTTGAAGGAGTAATTAATTAATATTCAAGCAATTTAAATGCAAGAAAATCAATTTTAAAGTTTTAAAATAATAAAAAATTATAGAAAATGCTTGCATAAATCTTGTAAATTAAATAATGATGAAAAAATGATATTTTGGAGGTATATACACTTATTTGAAAAATATGAGGGCAAAATTGGGTATCAACACCTGATACATTGGATGCGCTATCGGAGTATAGGACCCAGAGGTCTTGTGCTTGGAGGGAAGTTTGGACGGCTTCTCTTTTGACTTCAGGCATTATTTTTGCATTGAAGTCGGCGACGAAGTCTCTGAGCACTCGTGACTTTATCGTCATTCGCGACTGGTATGTGATATCGTGCTTACTTAGCTCGATGGCCTATTTGGCCAGCCTCCCCAATTGCTTGGGTTTATGCAAAATGATCCTCAGGGGAAAAGTTGTGACGACCGAGATGGGGTGGCATTGGAAATAGGGTCTAAGCTTCTGTAAAGCTACGACCAAGGCCAGAGCCAATTTTTTGAGGTGTGGATACCTCGTCTCGGCATCGACGACTGTTTTTCTAATGTAATAGATGGGAGATTTTGTACCTTTGTTTTCGTGGATCAAGACCGCGCTTACTGCTACCTCAAATACGGCTAGATAGACGAGGAATTGCTCCCCATGTTCGGGTTTCGAGAGCAGGGGCGGTGATGATAGGTATGCCTTTAGTTCTCGCAGAGCCTGGACGCACTCAGAAGTCCATTCAAGGCTGTTGTCCTTCTTGAGTACACCAAAAATTTGTGGCATCTATCCGACGATCGCGAAATGAACCTTGATAGGGCGGCGATACGACCAGCCAACCTTTGGACTTGCTTTTTGGTGGTTAAGAGTTCTAGTATCCCCTCAATAGCTTTGATTTGGTCGGGGTTGACCTCGATCATTCGCTACGATACCAGGAAACCTAAGAATTTTCCTGAGGCTATGCCAAACGCGCAATTCTCCGGGTTCAGCTTCATTCTGTATCGTCTGATTATGTCAAAAGTTTCTTTCAAATGATCGATGTGATACTCCTCCCTTTTAGACTTGACCAACATATCGTCTATATATACCTCCATGGTCTTACCGAGCTGGTCTTTGAACATCTTGGTTACCAACCGTTGATAAGTAGCCCCTGAATTTTTTAGTCCAAACGGCATGACCCGATAGCAAAACGTTCTTTGGTGGGTGATGAATGTGGTCTTCTTCTGGTCTTCTTCCTCCATGAGAATTTGATTATAGCTCGAGTAAGTATCTAAGAAACTCAGTAATTCGTGCCCGGCTGTTGCGTTGATGAGTTGGTCCATGTGGGGTAACGGGAATGAATCCTTTGGACATGCTTTGTTAAAGTCTATTAAATCCACGCACATCCGCCATTTCCCATTTTTCTTTTTGACCATCACTACATTGGCAATCCATTTGTGGTACTTTGACTCCTTGATGGAGCCATTTTCTAACAATTTTTTCACCTCTTCGCGGACTGCATCGTTGATGGCAGTGTTGAATTTATATCTGACTTGTCTTACTGGGGAGTGGAATGGGTCGACGTTTAACTTGTGTGTGGCGATTTCCTTTGGGATGCCGGGCGTATCTGCATGGCTGAAAGCAAACAAACTTGCATTAGCTATTAAGAATTGACTGAATTTACCAGTTTCCTGGAGTTTACAGCCGATATAGGCCTTCTTGCTATGATCGTTGAGGTCCAATGAACAGGGTCGAGGTCTTCTTTGGTCGAACCTGCAGCCCCGACCAGGTCGGGATCCATGATGACATCCCCAATTTCTTCTTGTTTCGACCTCGACCCTGTTGATTGCTACGCCTTTTTTCTTTGTCTTTTTTCTATTGGATGGTCGTGTTGTCCAATCCAATGCGGTAGTATTCTTGGAACATGCGTTATTCTCCGCGTATGCTAAATATCCCCCATGGTCTCGGGAACTTAATTGCTTGGTATAGGCTGGATGGGATAGATCTCATGGGGTGTATCTATGGTCGTCCCACTATGGCGTTATACGCAGTGGCCTGGTCCATGATGTGGAATGTCGTCTCTATAGTCATGCCGCCAGCCAAGACGGCGAGTGTAATTTCCCCGGATGTTCGCTCAACTGCATTATTAAAACCGGTTAGCGTGATGCAACGTGACACTATCTTATCCTCGAGCCTCATTTGGGTAAGGACTCGGGGATTGATAATGCATGCACCGCTTCTATCGTCCACCATGATACATTTGATATTGGTATCTAAAATGCATAAAGTAATAATGAGGGCATCATTATGAAGGAAAGTCAAACCGTCGGCATTCGACTCATCGAAGATGGTACTTTCTTCGAGTTCGTCGTACCGTTCGCGGGTGATAAACCGCTTGAGTTTGTGAGTGGTGGTGAACTTCACGCCGTTGATAGAGGCATCATCGCTACCGCCGATGATCATGTTGATGGTACGAGCTAGCGATGGTGGTTTTGGCGAGCCTTGATGTTCTCGTCCTTTGGTGAAGCTACCTTTATCGATTAACAGCTCTTTAAGTGCCTTTGCCGTAATATGTTTACGACTTCCTGATGTCTGAGGGTGATGCAATCTTCTGTTTTGTGCCCGCGTTCTTAGTGTAACTCACAGAGGGCGTTGGACTTCCTGGTATTCGGGTCTGATCTCATCTTTGGCAGCTAGTTCACTTTTGTTCCGAGTTTTCAAGAGCGTAGACTATCTCTATAGGCGACACACAAAAACTATGACCAAATAATAAATGAGACATACCTCTTTCGTTCCGATGAGTTCCTATACTCGGCGTGGACGGTCCTTTTACGTAGCGGAGGGAGGGTGTGGGGCTGCCCAGACATATGGTTGGTGTCGTTCCCTATTAGGTCGCGGAATTGGATGATCTCTTATGGTACTGCCTCTTTGTTCTTTTTTGGATTCGGCTTGTACCGAGGTTAGCCCATAAGTTGGTCCATTGAGATCATCCTTGTATGCTCGGACCTCATCACAATAAGTGTTATAGATTTCGTCCCAAGTGGTTGGAGGATACTT